ATCTTTATCTTTATCTTTATCTTTATGTATATATATATATTCAGAATTATATTTATATTTATATTCATATTGATATTTATACTTGTATTTTTTATATTTATATTGAATAGACGCACACAATGTATTTATACAGTATACATGTATTTACACTTCTTTATGTTTATTTTAGTTTTTAGTTTTTTATGCTTATGTTATATATATATGTATATATATATATTGTTTGATTTTATTTTTTACATTCAGATTTACATGTTTATGTACAACAGTATATTTATATACACATTCGTGTGTGTATATACACATATTTATAGATTCATTTACATATATATATACGCGAGCAAGCACACACAGGCACAAAGAAAGAGAGAGAGAGAGAGAGAGAAATAATGTCGCACAGCCGCCATGTCGTCTTTCATATCGGAAGTTGTAGCTGTTGGCAAGCTTGTTTCGGGGCCTGGTATGACGGGGGCTGACGTCAGGTTCAGTTCGAAGTGAGCCGGGGAGGCAGGTCAGGTGGGGCTGAACAACGTGCTGCACCAATTTCACGCGAAGTTATCGGGAGTGGAGCTCCCCGACGAGAGGGGCCGTGAGGACATCCTTGCCCCGCCCGATAGCCAGGCTCGGACAACGCTGCCACAACACCACTGCTAGCAGCAAGAGGGTGCGATCCCAAGAAACACCGAGTATTCGTTTTGTCCTCGAGGTTTCAAAGATGCCGCTATGCCTTCCATGGAGACAGACCACTGCTTTCTGTGCTCCCGATGTACAGGAAGATGCAGCAACAAGAGTTAGATCTAATAGTTCGCTTTGGACCAGCTGACCCTTTCTTGGGGACGTGCACAAAGCTTGTCACTTGAGGGGCAAGCATATGTAAGCACCCAAGGATGGCGAAGTCGATGTCGTTGTCATAGGCTCCAGTGCCAGAGTGCTGGAGCTTGTTGGAGCAGCCGCAGAGCTAGAGATCTACGACCCAGTGCATGAGTAGCGTATGGCAGCATGTTGTAGACGATCAGAGTGGCAGATGATGAAGGATCTGGATTTGGTGGTCTGGCATGTGCTGGCATGCTGGTGTGGAGCCCAGGTCTACGCGCTATCAGCAACTACCGCGTTGTGTTGTATGCATCCGTGACTTAGGCACGCGCTGGACGCGAGGTCTTGGTCTGCGAGTCCCACAACGTGCCCGGCGGGGTCGCGGCTTTAGCTTGACTCTCACTGCTAGACCAAGCATTGACGGAAGTGAGTATGGTGGGGCGATTATGCAGGGTAGAGAGGTGCGGCAACTTAATATGGCCGAGCTGGTCCGAGCGTGCCGAAAGGCCGTGCCAAAGATGCATGTTCTGGCAAACGTTGTGACTCCAGTCTTGCCATGCGTGCCGGCTTACACCGCTGGGTTGACCGCAAGGATGCTAACCGCCACTAGGACATGTCAACAAAGAGTGCATAAGTTGCACCCTGTCCAGCTGTCAGCACAGCTGCAAGGTGGCACATGCGTCCGGTTCTGAGACTACTGTAGCACCGGTCGGCACCGGAAAGCAATGCTTCGACTGGAGGTTCACAAGAAACGGCTACGAATTTGACAGCGGGCCCAGTGTCGCCCTCGGCCTTTATGCCGTGGTACAACTATTTGCAACAGAACCGTCAGTCGCCATTTTGGTGGTCGTTGTGCTAGAGGCCTACTTTCTGGGTGCTCGACTCCGGTTTCCGCCAATCCCTTGCGATTGGTGCTCAATGCCTTAGGGGAGGAGAGCACGTGATTTTTCAGACGTGCCGTGGACATTTTCCAGGAGACGGTAGCATGAAGAGATCGTTCGTTGAAGCAGCTTCTAGGCTCAAGTGAAGTTTTGGAGACATAGTTGGTGGGCCAAGTTGGAGTCGCCCTTTGTGACTTGGCTGCCTTCGCTGGCGATGAGGGTCTTGCTTGGCAGGGCATGGTCGGGCAATGCTGCATGCCGGCGGGCTTCAGAGTGAGTTGCGATGTGGCAGAGTACCCGCAGCGTGATAGATGGTCATCGGTGAAGCAAAAGCCCTTGGAAAAACTTGTTCCGTTCCTTTACGGTTGGAGGCGAATGCTTGGTGCCAGATAGCTGCCGAGAAGCGTTCTCTAACTACCAGGACACTGATTCTTCGCATCAGTTCTTGCCTTCCAATAGCCGGCAGCGATCAAAGTCTGAGCAGCAGGGTGCTGTTATGGTTTGCCGGCCTAGTTTGTTGAGCGGAACCGTGAGGGGGGAAGACGAGTTCCAATTGTCATTCCTAATTACTTCCAGACAGGATGGATGAAGAAGTGAAGCCAATGGAACAGGCTGGTTCTCTGCCACTGCAGGCAGCTACGAGCATGTAAGACTGTACTTTTGGCCAGGGGATCGTTTTCCACATCGAGATTGCCCAAGCACAGGGCCTCCCCAAGCCAGAAGTGGCTTTTATCCAAATAGCTGGCTTGGGCTTGCAAGAGGACGGCGGCAACGGTTAATGGCTCATGGGGTTCACGTCGTAGGATGATCCATGTAGCATTGCTTAATTCCGTCAGGATTATGCTTCCGAGGCACAGGTGGAGGACTGCACTCCGTCAAAATACAGCACAGGTCTCTTGTGCCGACACGCTGAGGAGTCCACTGAGCCTGGACCGTTTCTCTTCCAGTCGCTCGAAGCCCTTGCAGAGGCGAAGCGGCTCAAGGCTGAGGCACCGCGACCTTCACCAAAGCAACAAGTCCTCACCGGCTTTGCCTTTGGCCTTCGTTGCCTTTTTGCATGCCAGGCGGAGGCAGCTGCGGGCAAGAAAAAGAAAGAGGCGAGCGAGCAGTCTTCAGTTTTAGCAGTCCTAGCGTTTGTGCCCATTGCAAGCTCTCGAACATGGGGACTCAGGAGGATTCTCGCCCTGCCTCCATCGACCCTCCGACGGCATTGTGCAGAATCTCGAAGCCGTGCCAGAGCGATGCTGAGAGGCCAAATCGGCTTGTTCACGATGTCAGCCAAGTTGAATCTTCAAGACGAGCCGTGTGTGGAATGCCCTGAGGCAGCAGCTCCTCGACAGTTTGTGCGCACCCTTGCGGCTGAAGCTTTTCCGCAACGGGCCAGCGCCCGCTGCTTTAGCTGAAGCTGTTGTAGACTTGAGTGCGTTGATTCATGACACCGCCTTGCTGGAGCTCGACGTGGAGCTGAAGTGGTCGGACTTGCTGCTCAAAGAGCTTCGCTCCGAGTTCGAGGAAGCGGCAGCGGCCGCAGCAGAGGCCGCCAAGGCTGAAGCGCCTGAGGCTGAGGATGCGGATGCAGCGGATGCAGTGCAGCCCGAGGAGCCGCCAACCTTCGCTGAGCCTCCGAACGGACGGCTGTTGCTGAAGATCTCTACAGCCGCTCCCATCGGACGCATTCTGTGTCCGGAAGATCTGCACGACTGGGCCATCCTCACTGTGCGTCTCGAGGGTCTGTACCATTTGCCACAGAAGCTTCTTGATGTCGGTGGCCCACTCCCCGAGCCGGGCACAGCTGAAGGGCCCTTGGAGTCTCATCCCCTCCGCTACAGTTTGCGTGTGCTGAGCTGTGACTTCAACGACGGCCAGCTGGTTCTGCCGCACGTCGACTTGCCACCAGAAGAAGGCGAAGGCAAAGAAGGCAAGGCTCAAGAAGGCGAGGAGGCTGCCGAGCCTGCGGAACCGGAGACACCAGCCTCTCCAACCCAAGAGCCAGACATCTCTTTCGACATTGGCATGGAAGAGTTCGAGGAGAGCCTCATGCGTGCTGGTTTTCCAGGAAAAGACGGTCCAGCAGTCTTCAACTTCCTTTGCCGACCGCGGACTGGTCTAGGAGGACGCATCGGTCTTCAGGATTTCTTGCGGTTGTTGGAGATCACTGTGCCAGCGACACCGGAGCAGCTTGTAGAACTGCATGGCCTGCTTGTGGAGAAGCACGGAAGCTTGGAGACAGCTTTCTCAAGCATCGATGCAGAAGCCGAGGGTTTCCTGACGCGACAAAGCTTCGCATTGGGCCTTGAGCAGCTGGGAGTCACCCGGGAGCCCGAGGAGGTCGAAGCCTTCTTCGTAGCATTGGACTCCAGCCGAGCAGGCTATGTCACGCGAGAAGACTTTCGAGTTTTGGGTGTGACAAAGCGCTTGAAAGACTTGGAAGCTGCTTCAAAAGCCTGCAAATGGCTGTTCTCCGCCGCCGGGTCTGTAGAGGCTCTGCTTCATCAGGTGGACACCCAGAACTCTGGGACAATCACACAGGAAGCCTTCGTTTCGGCAGCGACGAAGCTGGGGTATACGGACGAGGGCGCACTTCAACAGGTGTTTGCCTTTGCAAGCCTTCAGGAGACTGTAGAAACTGATGCAGGGGAGGTCGAGACCTTGGGCTTCGAGGCATTTCGGTCACTGCAGTCGTTGGCATCCCTCGAATTGACGTCGGTCCCAAACTCGCTGTCAGCTCTGGAGAAGCTGCTTTTGGGTGAAGGCGACGAATGTTTTCTGAGTTCTTCACAGGGTCCAGGTCACGTCGCCTTGCAGGCACTGTTGGATGACCGCTCTGCTGTGAGCATCGGCTGTCCAGCGTTTCTGGCTGGCATCAAGCGTTTGGATGGCAGTGATGAAGTGACAGATGTGCAGGCATTGTTCTTTGTCTTGGACGCTGCAGTTGAAGGAAAACTGGGTGCCGACGCCTTTTCATCCCTTCCAGCAGTCAATGCGGCCGAGCACTGGAGACGGCTGGCCGCCTGCCGATCATTTATCGAGTCTGGGTTTGGCGGAATCGACCACAACACGTTCAAAGCACTGTTCGACAGTCATGCAGAGCATTTTCTCGAGGCAGAGGAGACGCTCCCTCGTGTCGAGTGGTCGCAGGGCCGTGAAGTGATGGGCTACCGTGGCAGAGAGTGGCTGCAGCGCCTCTTCAACACTCTCGGAGATGACCGAGGCCGGAATCCCTTAGACCTCAGCGTCAGCCAGACAGGAGGGACCTGGCTGTACATGTTTCCGGCACTGAGCGGACACGCCACTGTGGATTTCAAGGAGCTGCCTGAAGCTCAAGCTGCGCAGGCGAAAGTGGCAAGGTGGCACCATGCGCAGGCATTCCTGGATTTGCGACGGATACTCGCACCTCCCGAAGCTGGCAGAGGTCCTGAGCTGGAGTTCAGGGCCTTCCTTACGCAGGTTGGGTCTCTTCCAGCTGGCGATTATGGCAGTGAAGAGCATGCATCAGTGCCTTTCAGGGCTTGCGAGACATACGTGAAGGGAGTCGTGCGCCTCGACCGCCCTTTGATGCGACTCTGTCCACGGGACGTGCGTCCTGCTGTGCAGCCGTCAGGCGAGCCATACATTCCACCACCTCCAGAAAAACGACCACCTCCCACGGTTAATGACGAGTTGGAGAAAGAAGCCAGCAAAGTCATTGCTCGACTGGCCTTTGAATTTGCTCGTTGGTGCCACGAAGAAGGCTTCGAAGAAGCGAAGATGGATACCACTAATGCGGCTAATGCAAAAGCAGTGTTGGGTCACAAAGGTGTGAACCGAGGTGCCTTCCTCCAATGGTTGCAGCAAGATGGTGCCATATTCAAGGACTTGGGTAGCAAGCTTCGCCCCGCTATCGTCCGGCTTGTGAGGGCCGAAAACAAGAATGGCCCGTCCTGTGGATTGAATGGAAACGAAAACGATGCCAAATACTCTTCACTGTGCGTTTACATCCTCAAACACCTCGTGCGCGCCTTGAACACGGATGTCGAAAGACACCGACGTCTGCGAGATGAGCAGCTCTGGCGAAGCCCACAGTCACAGGTTCAGCAGGACAATGCGCAGGATGCGGATGCTGCGCAGGCAGGGTGCTCATGTCGCCTGTGCTCTCCCAGCTTTCCACGATCCGCAGGACAGCCAGAAGCAAGACGAGCTGCTCAAGCGGTTGATACTTGAGAATGAACTGGTTGGTGATGTGCAGCGTGCCTTGCGCAGCAAAGTACAGGACCAACAACTCTGACCTCTAGGCTTTAGTTCGATCGGCAGAAGCCCCTGAGGTGCTCGGGAGGTGTACGAGGAGTGGCTGGCGCTGGAACACAACGTCGAGAACGGCGAGGCTGTCTCTGTGTAGCTCCTAGACCTATAGATTCCTAGATCGCATCCGAGCTTATGCAGGGCTTTAGACTGCGTGATCAGAGTGCAGTTTCCTTCGCCTTTTTTTTGAAACAAGCTGTTTTGGATCTCCTTAGACTGCCGACCAGGCCTGGTGCAGCCTCTTGGCTTCAGAACTGCCAGCGAAGGACAGCGGTGGGTTCGAGGTTTAGCTTCTGGCAAGGCCCTGGCAATGCCAAAAGCCTCTAAAGTACTCTTTAAGGCTTTCGCAGCTTTTCGGCAGTGATGAGAAGCCGAGGCTTCGCCCGCTTCCTCATGCGCTGGGGCCCGAGCTGTTTTCGGTCAGCCTCAGCTCGCCCTATCCTCATCCCCAAACATAGCCCTCATCCCAAAGAGCAAGCAAGGATGCGGCCAAAACCAGCTCGACGCCGAGCGAGTGCTGCGATACTCGATCTCGCTCAAGCCACCCAGCAGCATACTTTCAGCACGCAGGCAGGGTCTGTTTGCGGTTGGGGGGTAGTTGTGAAAGCGGTTCTATTCGAGCTTGTGTCTCCAGCAAGCCCGCCGAGCGTTTCATAATTTTTTGTGGGATGCGCACTGCTTGTGGTTTGTGAAACATTAGAGTTGTCGGACGACCGATTTGGTGGATGACTGCATGCTACTCGTTTTGTTCGAGATATTTCGAGGCAAGTTTGCGCACTGCCCTCACACACGTCATTAGTGTCTGTTTGCCAGCGAGGTCCGGCGAGGAAGGGCCGGAATTCTTGGAGGCCGCCGGTGATTGCTTCAGGGGTAGTTGCCTCTGTCGAAAGCGTCGGTGTGAGCAGGTGTCCTTCCTGGCATGCCTGCTACAGAACCAAAGCCTCCCATGCTCGTTGGATAAAGAGGAAGTCAGGAGCTTTCCAGTGCCGTGTTCAGATTGTAGCTTGCAGCAGCTGTTCTGCATGCAGGACTGCTCGCTTCGAAGCGGCACTGGCCATGATGGAGTGCTACACGGACAGGCCTGGCCTCACGCGTTGCACTTGTTATCACTTGTTCTTGATCTTTAGCCCTGGCACTGGCAGGCATGCCTTTGATCCGATGCCCTTGTACATCCTGTTTTTGATCTGCGCGGTGGAGGCTCAAATGAGAGCACGGCTCTGGGCCACATGGGTCGCGACCTCGTGCCAAGGCCCATGCGGTGCAGGCGCAGGTGCAGGGCTCGGATCATCTTCACAAGCCGTCCGCCAGCCCTGTAAGGGGGTCCTTTGGGGGTAGTCATGCCCACCCAAACACAGCAGGCGGCGAGTGCGGAGAGCGAGGAGGCCATGTTGTTAGCAGAGCAAGGCGACCGCCTGGCGGCGGAGGCCGCAGCCCAAAAAGGGCACAGCTCAGGGGCACAGGTTCCGTGCACTGAGGCATCCAAGTACCTGGAGCTGGCGCGCTGCCCCAAAGGTCGGTGGACTGGCAACTTGGCGCTCCCTAAAGATCTCGCTTAAAGGCGATGGAAAGACTTGAGAATCTGCGTGACACGTGCGGAGGCACTCTCGACACGGGTTTGCAAGGTGGACCTCGCTTTCCGGAGCTGGAGGCACCTGCACTTAGTAGGTTTTGTTGCGACAGCTGCGGATGCTGCCTTCATCAGTTTGACTTCGTAGCCAAGCCGTCACCGGCCAGGCACTTGTAGCGAAAGAGCAGATCAACAGAGGCGAGGTTCCTGAGGCTGCCGATGGCCATCAAATTGAAGCTGCAGCAAGTTCAGCATCTTCGGTTTTGAACTGTGACATCGTTCCAGGTGCCAGCAGAGAAGCCTCCTGATCCTGAGGCCTTTGGGCATCAGCACAAGTCTTGATTTACGGCCTGGGTGCAACGTAATCCACCGCTAACATGCTTTCTTTTTGTGGCCGTCGGAGCCATCGCTGTTGTCTAGAAGGTGTTGTATTGTCACAAGCGAGGCTTGGCTTCCAACCGAGCGAAGAGTTTTTCCAGACGCGAAGTCGTTGCGCCGCTTGCCGGACAACGAGGATGCCCGGGTCCCTAGTGCTTGTTCAAGCACATTGTACCCCACGCCATGACATGCAGAGCTGCCGAGGCCAAGGCGTTAGAGCTGGTCGACTTGATGCTGCACTTCGGTCTTCCCGCCCATGCGGGCTTTCTTCTCACCGTTGCGGTCCAGGCTGGGCTTCAAGCTGTGACTCTGCTCCTTCGCGGCCCAGTTGAGACAGGCATATGGCTTCGTGTCCCCAAGCACATCTGCAAGCGAGCGATGCCAGCTGCAGCTCCTGAAAGCAGCAATGCTTTCCAAGGCTGTGGTCTCTCCACAAACCATGGTCAGTGCACGCACGTTTGCGCCTGGTCGACCTCTTCAGTCTGCAGGACTGGTCTGATGCGGAGGCCCTGGTGGAAAGCCTCTTTGCCAACAGAGGCGTGCCCGGTCCCAAGTACTGTAGCGCCAAACAGTGCGTCACCTTTTAGTCTACCAGGAGCTGACCGGATCCCTGAAGCTCATGCGCTCCTGGCCGAGTGCCGCTTCCGCGCCGCCAGGGAAGCTCAAGCTCAGAGCCCTCCGTCCCGCAAGTTGATACTATGACAATTTGATCGTGCATGCTGAGATTCGGATGGCGAAATCATTTCGAAGTGCGGCGGCGGGGAGGCTGTAGTCGCCTCGCACGATCTGTCGGTTACGGAAGTAAAGATTGAGCAAGAGTAAGTGTAAGCACTGACTCGATTCGTTCAAAGCTGTGTACTCTAGGAACTTGCGATAAGCGAAGTGCAAATGCTTTTGAGCCTTACCCTGTACTAGTTGCTTGCCCGGTCCATGCCCACGTCGGAATGAGACTGTGAGGGTGAACAGCATGGGCCTTTTGTTTCGATTATTTTTCAGTTGCTGCACCGAAGCTTGGTCAGCACATGAGGCGAAGCAAGTAAGCGACAGAGCAACAGAGGCGCCGGCTACCAGTCTGCCCTGGATGCCTTCGAGACTGCGCTCTCGTTCATGGTGGCGCCTGAGGCATTTGGGGGATGTTTACACAACTATCTACCAGGGTGAGGATCAAGCCAAAAAAATTGGAGCTTGAATCCGACTTTAGGTGTCAGCTTGTGATCACCTGCCCTGCTTCGGAGGTTGCAGTGCAGCCGACGCCCGGACCGCCGCCCATGGAAGATCCAGTGTTACATCTTCGAGTGCTTTGGTTGCTTTCAAACTACAGACACAGACACAGACACAGACACAGACACAGACACAGACACAGACACAGACACAGACACAGACACAGACACAGACACAGACACAGACACAGACACAGACACAGACAGACAGACAGACACACACACACACAGACAGACAGACACAGACAGACACAGACAAACAGAGAGAGACAGAGAGAGACAAAGAGAGCCAGACAGAGCCAGACAGAGTCAGA